TAATTAAACATACTCATATAATTGAATATGGTCTTTTCCAGAAAAAGGTGGTTGACCAGCAGCCATTTCAAAACATAAAACAGCAAATGTCCACCTGAAGAAAAGAAAAAAGAAAACATTCTAATCAATGTATTATCTTTTGTAACATACCAATCCACAGATTTTCCATAACCTTTGTGTTTAATGATTTCCGGCTATGCCAAAAACAAAACAAAACAAAAAATAATAATATACAAACACTCTACTAAAAATTAACTGTAGTCCTACTAGTTTCTCATAAAATTTTCTTGAATAAGAACATTTGACGAGGAAACATTTTCAAGTGTTTGCGTCCTTCTGATCTAATATTTTGCTCATAAATAAATCTTGGTGTAGTATGAAACATCTCCAAAGGGTTTGCATCCATAGGCATTTCTTGCCGAGTTTTGAATTGTTCGAGTATTTTCCATACATATGAAAGTAACGACCAATACTTTTTGATCATTGTTAAAAGATAGGAGATTATAAGCCTTTTTCAGAGTGAACTTCATAATAATTAGGTAGTACTAGACCTTCTAATATTTGTTACCCAGTATCATTTCTATTAGAATATAAACTATTCATCTTCATAATTTGTATATGAAAACTAGTGTACACTATTTAACAATACAATACATGCTATTATTCCGTGAGAAAATCATGATAGAGTTTCAAGAAATTTTGAGATTTATCATCTGCGAACTTCTAAAGGTTGCAACGTTGAAAAGTCTCTAGTCATCATTAAATTCACTCTCAAAAAGATCCACGATCTCTTATTACTTAATAGTCACCAAAAATTACTTACCATTACTTTAATTTGCATGAAAAGTATTCAAACAATTCAAAACTCGACAAGGAACGCCCATCATCATGCATCCTTTGGAAGCTTTTCATAGCTCACCAAGATCTACTTATGAGCAACATATTAGCTGAAAAGGACGCGGACATCTGAAAATATTTTCCCATGAGAAGATTCAGTAAAGTCTCCGGCAAGCCAGGTAAACTATCACAAATTCAAAGTTTGCAAATAGATTACAATATGAATAATACTATCAAAGTCTAAAATATATCGTTTATCTTTGCCAGAAAGTTTCAATGTTTTCTCGTAACTATAATTTTAAGCAATTTTACTAATTTTTTTTTCTCCTAAACAAAAACAATTAGAAAAAAAAACAAATTCATTTTTCATGTTGATAGATTTTTTCTTATACGCTCAGTATGTTAATAATTTCTTTACCGGTAAATAATCCGGTGTACCACATAATGTATATGTTCGACCATTAACATGTTTTGCAAAACCAAAATCTGTTACTTTTAAATAACCATTTTCCGCAATTAAAATATTTTCTGGTCTTAAGCAAAAAAAAAAAAAATTCGTTACAACAACCAAATAAAGAAAATTATACATACTTAAGATCTCGATATCTATTAAAACAAAAATAAACAATAAACAATATCAATTAATTCTAATATAAACTTACAATATATCAAAATGATGTAAATATTCAAAGACAAGAAATATTTGAGCAGCATAAAATTTCACATGTTTTTCATTAAATTTACCTGTACGTCTTAAATAAGTAAATAAATCACCACCTAAAAGAAAAATATTTCCTTTATTTTCTTTAATAAAAAAATTAAAACAAATCTATTGATTTTGCTTTTTTCCCTCCTCACCACTAATATATTCAAGTGACAAATAAATAAATGAATTATCTTTAAATGAAAAAAAATATCGAACAGTATTTGGATGTTGTAATGAATATAAAACTCGACGTTCATTTAATGTATGATCAATTTGTTTATAACGAACTAGTTTTCTTTTATCCATTACTTTAATTGCATAGAATCTATTTCCATCATGTTTATTTATATTCTCACTCTTTAATAATGCTAAAACAACACGACCAAATGAACCTCGTCCAAGTGTACGTATAAGTTGAAATTTATCAAGTGCTATTGTTGCATCACATGGTGATACACGAGACCATCGTTGTTTAAAATTTTCAATTAATTCAGCATCTTCATTTGCATTTGCATATGATATAAATTGATATAATTCATTTTTAGCACCACGAACTAATGATGATACCATTGGAATGATATTTAATTAAAAGAAATCTTTTGTTGATTGTTCGTATCATTAATCGATATCATTGAGAAAAAAAATACATAAAATTATCCGAATAAACAAATTTCATAAATATGATGCGCCTTTTATAATTCTTTTTTTATTTAATAGATTACTATTTTTTTTTGTTTTGTCTTCTATTACGATACTTTATATTTCGATGGATTGTATGATAAAATTCGATTAAATAGTATTAAAATAAATGTTATAATATTATAAAAACTATTTTATTGATTTGAATAAAATGCTTTACTTCATCGTACTTAGGGCATACCAAATGCAGTGACAGTATCACTATAATACCTTATAGGAGGAAGGAGGAAAATTTTCTGCATACACATATTGATAGTGTAAACAATGCTCTAAGATTTTATCATTCTTTAGTTGTTTTTATAATGTTAAAATTTAGATCAAAACTATTTACTTTTGAGTTTCTACACTTACTAAGTTCATACTGAACTATATATTTTGCTTTTTTGGCCATGAGACTCTACCTCTAACAATAGTTGAAAGATTATATGAATGATTTCATGAAAGTCAAAAAGAGATTGTTGCAGATCTCTAATGAAGACAATAACTTTAATGACCATCGTCAACGTTAGCTGTTTCGATATACAATAAGCGGTATTTTTTTCAAGCATACGATGATCGAAGATTATTCATTAAGCGGCGTCATGTCTCAGGTCAGTTTGTGCTTGCAATTCAACAATTGTAGTGTCAGCATCATTATCTATAAGATAATGGATCTGTTCGATGTGTTTCAATGTTATTCGGTTACAGATCTGCCGAATCGTGCTTCGTCTTGAACCTTTTCTCGACCTTCGCGTAGCTACTCATATCATTTTTCAACTAGTCTTAGAGGTGTATACGTATCGAGAGAATTTCTTCGACCCTTCTGTACGATATTATAGTGCTACTGCCACTATTTTTGGTATGCACTAAGTATCTAAAGATATTGAGACATGTTTGTAGCTATTAGAAAAATCTATTTGATAGAGTCAATTGAAGAAAATCCGTTTGACCAGGGAAATGATTTTGTCTGTTACCGAAGCGTAAGGTAAAAGTTTGCAATAAATTTGTTTTTTTGATATAGCATTGCAAAAAAATATCATAGAGATCTAATCCTCTTTTTTTTCTTAGAAAAAGTAAAGCGGCTGGTGCAAAAATATATAAAAGAATTCGATCGAAAATGTTTCTTGAAGACCCGAAAAATATTAAAACCGAAAGTATAGAGAAATTTTTCGCTATTTCTTTTTGAATTCAGCAAACCTTTCACACAATCTGAAAGGTTTTATAGCAACATTGGCGGACTACTATTCTATCAAACAAAAAAAAAACATTATTCTACGCGTTTTTACAACGGTCGATATGAACGCTATTATAACACCTTCTGGTATTATGTTCGATTTTTCGTCATCATTGATCACAGTCAAAAAGCTAAACCTTAATCCAAAAAAGAAGTTGTTCGAAGACATACATTTTATGTACAAAAAAAGGAAGCTGATCAAGCCCCTTTATCACGCAATATTATTGCAAATAGAACACACCCATTTATCTGTGAGATATTCAAACAAAGGCTTGTTTTCGTGTTATAAAAGCAAAAATGGCTTTTTAATTAAACTATTTATTGTTTAGTTTCTTATGTGCTACATCAAAAAGAAAATTAATCCGAAACTTTTCTCTTGACTCTTTATCATAAAATGAGCAGCTGCATCTTAAATATTTATTAGAGTTTATCGATCAAATCTAAGATCTTTAAAAAAAGAATCTTTAATTGAATTTTATTTTTAAATTAATTGGAAATGAAATATTGTCTAAGAATTATTTGTATAGAACATGTAAAAATCTTAGATGACATTGAAGACAATAGACATTAGTTTTTATAAAATTCTAATCGAGTACGAAAAAAAAACTTTAGGTTTCTATTATTTTTAGTAAAATGAATTGAATGATCATGTTCGAAATTAGATAATCTAATTGAATCCATGTTAAAATTTTTATTTTAAAAATAATCTTTAAAATTGCATACCCTCATAAATAAAATTAGTGTTCTGAATGTTAGTATTTCTACTGCTGTCAAAAACAAAATTATTTCATCAATCTTTGCAATTCATCATTATTTCTATATTGATACATCAATTATTTTCTATTTATTATATTTATATCTCAAATGTAGGTTAAAATATTTTAATTGTATATTTCAATTAACATAAACTATTTCTTCTTCGGAAAACGCCAAATATTTTCATGATCTTCTTATACGTGCATGTTCTTTTTTAGTTAAAAAAAACGTTTCTTTTTCTTTCAATATTAACACTAATTTGATTTTTTTTTCTATATTTCAATGACGCATAGAGTATATCAAAGTTTCAAATTTCATTTCAAACTTCTACTCTAACCAACAAACACTTTTACAATTTTCTTTTATCTTAGATTGTTCTCTCCTGTAAACATATAATTATTTATAATAATCGTAACAGTTCAAATAAGCTCGAATTAATTACTTTTTTTCTTTATAATTAAAACCCATAAAACAAAACTGATACGTGACTAAAGAAACAATAAAAATACATTTGTTTAATAAACCATACAAGATAATAACAAAAGAAAACCAAACATTTTATCTTCTCTTTTATAAGAATAAAGTGCAATCAGTCAAATTTTTTTTTCATTGTATGCTTCCATAGTAAAAAGAACAACAGTTTCAAATCAACTATGATCAGTTTACGTTTTGTTATGCTAGAATCAAAATGAAAGAATTGAAAAGAAACGGTGTATATCAATAGCAACATCAATAGTTTGTGAAGACACATTTATTAGCAGAGACAATTCAGACAAAAAAAAATTCATAATGAGACGAGCAAATCGTATAGAACCGGTTATTACCGGTAGTGATGCTGAGGATTTAGCACGAGCTACAGTAACAACAACGACGCAAATGGAAGTTGTACGACGCGTTCAAGTAGTTCCGATGGTAAGTAGCTGTAAACATTCGATGTCAAATATAGAGTTTCATTGTTGCATGTCAGTGAGGATTTTCTTTTTTTTTTTCTTATTCATTTTAATTGATCACGGTAAAAAGAACGATCAGTAAGAAAGTTAACAATTGGTTGAGCAATAGTTTTGTTTGTAAAAACTTTATGTTGATATTTTTCTAAATATTTCTTTACAGAAAGAAGCACTTGCTCAATTGCATACTGATCTCAATCAATCGCTTGCTGGCGATGTAATTATTTCACCAAGAATTTGGACTGGAATGCAGAATACTGTAACACCCGTAGTCGTTAGGTAATACATCATAAGTGAAGGTTATTATTCACTACTCTCTGCATTAGAGAAAGTTTTGATGAAAAGGTTTTTTTTCCAATCAGAGTCATAGAAACGACATCGATTATTTCGTAGATTGAACATTTTCATCATTGAATATCATTGATTTAATACGAATATTTTTTTATTGAACTTAATTCATTAACCAAGAATAGATTTTTTAAAGAGATTCTTTTATATTTGTAATTGATTGAATTGCGCATTTGTTTTTTTTAACAGAGGCTCACACAAAACATTATGGATTATCGGCAGTTTATTTATTATAGTTGGGCTATGTGCTCTTGCTGCTATGATTACTGGCTTAGCAATTGCATTTGGAAGTTGGTATTCATTTTTACTAATTATTTTACTCTCTTTTTTTGTTTTTTTGTTAATAGACACAAATGCCGTTGGCGAAAGTCAGATTGAACGTATGTAAATTTCATTTAATCATATCAAAAAAGTTTCAGTATGATTTTATTTATTAGGATATGACATTGGTGATTTGAATTATGGAATGGATGGTGCCAATAATGATAATTTTCCTTCAGATACTTATTTATCTACTGAAAATAAGGATTCTGTTCAAAAATATGTTTGTATATTTATCTAATTAAATTTTTATTAATAAAAATATTTTTTTTTAGCTTTCTGATCAATTAATGAACGAGTCTGGTTATCGTGGCTTACTTATTGATGGAGTTCTTGTACAACAAGACTCGACAAGTGGTCGAAAACGACGGTATTTATATTCAAAATTTACATAACAAAATTTCAAGATTTATTTTTTCTAGAGCTACATCATGTCCAACCACTTTCATTATTCGGAACATTCAAGTCTATTTCGATCGTTGTTCAACTTGTGTTGGTTCACGTAATCTTGCTTTACGTCGTACACTTGGGAATTTAGCTGCTTTTCAAAAATCACTAAATTTATCGACAAGCAATGCTAATGCATCTCAAATATCTACAGAAATTTGTTCAACACCAAATATAACAAGTCTAAGTAAGAAATTAGATTTATGATTTAAATTAAAATTTTTCTTTTCATTCAGTTGTACCAGTAACATTAAGTATTTTACAAGCACAACAAATTAATTCCAGTCTTTTAGCAACAAATACATTAGTGACAGCAACTGTAGCAGCATCAAGTTATTCGATCTACACTTACTCAAAACGACCAACAACTCGTTTAACATATGCATTTACATCTCGAAGTATTTCTACAGAAAAATTAAAAGCAACGACAACAAGTACTTTACATCCAATCGAAACAACTTCACCAATTGCTACAACAATACTTAATGATATTAGTACCGTTGTTTCTACACTTTCATCTCAAATACCAACAGATTCAATGTCAACTATTGAATTTACAATTGCAGAAACTTCAACAAAAATACCTGAAATATCTACTGCTTTCAATGAATTAACATCCACAGTATTTACTGAAATAGATGAAACGACATCTTCCATAGATTTATTAACTACATCAGAAATACTTGAACATACAACAACAGGACAACAAGTTGAAGATACAACAACAGTAGAATTCGAAGACACGTCAACAACAGAACAAATTTCAGACGTGACTACAACAGAGCAATTCGAAGATACAACCACAGTACAGTTCAAAGACACATCATCAACAGAACAAATTTCAGACGTGTCAACAACAGAGCAATTCGAAGATACAACAACAACAGTACAATTTGAAGACACAACAACGGCAGGACAATTCGAAGATACAACCACAGTACAGTTCAAAGACACGTCAATAACAGAACAAATTTCAGACGTGACTATAACACAACAATTCGAAGATACAACCACAGTACAGTTTAAGGACATATCAACAACAGAACAAATTTCAGACGTGACTACAACAGACCAATTCGAAGATACAACAACAACAGTACAATTTGAAGACACAACAGCGGCAGGACAATTCGAAGATACAACAGCAACAGAATATACCGAAGACACAACAACAGTAGAGCAATTCGCAAATGTAACAACAGCAGAGTTAGTCGAAGATACAACATTGTCTGTCGATGAGACAACGATATCCGAAGAATTTGAAGACACAACATTATCTACACATGATATCATGACAACAGATACATTTGATGAAACCGCAACAACTCAAGAATTTGAAGAAACAACGTCTTCTACTAATACGACAACAATATTCAATGCATTTCTGAATATGTCAACATTAGAACAAATTGAACTAACAACATCATCTGAAGATTTAACAGCAACATCAGAATCGTTTGAGGCAATTACATATGCTACCAATTTAACTTCACCATCAAGCGAATTACTCACAACTGAAACTTTATCATTCGATACGGACACAACAATTGAAATGACAGAAACAACAACAACATCATTGACAAATTTTACCAGTGAAAAAAAATCGACCATTAATTATATGACAAATGCAACAATAAATAATGAAATTGAAACAACACCTCTTGATACTTTTGAAGAATTAACAAGTCCTACAGCAGAGGATTTGCCAACAATAAATGATACTACTATCGAATCTGATTTATCTCAAACAACAATTAGCCAAGATGGAGAAACACTATCAGATTCTTCGACAGAAACACAATCAACTACTTCTATTTATGATTATTCAACTGAAATTTCTGATAGTTCGATCATCTTTGAAGCTACTACAAATGAAATTGAAATTGATCAATCATCACCCTTTTATGATGAATCAACAACAGAAACATCAGAACTACAATCAAGTACAATATCTAGTTTTTCTGATGAAACAAGTCCTTCATCAATGTACCTTTCAACTACAATGAAGTCATTAACTACTAATGCTCTATTGTCATCTAAAAAAATAACTCCAACAGCTACTAGTTCTTTTCGACAAACTACTCAAAAGGTTTCTTCATTTAAACCACTATTAACTACTTCTTCCGTACGAAATACATCGTCTCAATTAACTAGTCGACCAATGTTATCAGTGACATCAATAAGACCTGGTCGTACACAAAAAGAAACATTTTATTCTACTGCTTTGACGTCTCCAACAACACAACGTTATGGTACGTCACTTTCTGCAACGCCTAGAAATACTTATCAATCAACAATGAAAATTCGACGTTTCAGTACTGCTATTACTCCATTAATGTCTACTGGTCGAACAAGTAAGTTCTATGATTGAAGTCTTTTTGTAAATCTAAGTATGATACATTAAAAGATATTCAAACTTATACAACAGCAACATTTCCATTGACAACAGGGACACAACAACGTAGTCGACTAAGGCAGACATGTAATAATTTAAAAGATTTTTAAAAAGTTTATCATTCCATCATTTGCTATTTGCAAAGAATTGATATCTTGTTTCATTAAAAGAAAGCTAAAAATTTTTCCCTCGTTTTAATATTATGCAAAAGAAATAATCTGTTCACCACATAAAACATTGTTATTCAACGCTATTTAATTCTCTTTTTGTAAAGCACGACCTAAAAGCAGCGTTGAAGTTTATAGGGTAGAAAATCGTGCGGGGCCGGCCTCCTGGCGGCGCGCGGCCGCCGCGCACACCCGCCGCACGACGACGCCGGCGCCGCACCCC